GATGACTGGAGGCTAAAGTTGTGCTCGGCAGTGGGATTACCTTCAATTTGTCACTGTGAATGGGTTTAATAAAAAAATGCAAGTGATGCATGACACCTTGATAAAGGCCCGTCATGGTATTAAAATAGAATGTGTGTTTGTATATATGTATATATATGGTTGCCTAGATGGAAGTGCCTAAGCAAGAAAACCTACACTACAAATTGAGTGTTTGTGTGTCGTGATGTGAGCCACATGGGTGACCTATGTTGTGTGAGCCTAGACTAGAAGGTCTAGACGTTGTGCTAAACCCCTAAGAGTATATCATCCTAGGCGAATAAGATGTTAAGAGGATTTGATTAAATGATTCCTTGGAGAACATAGAAGTACTTAGAAACTTAAACAAGCTATAGACAATTCAAGCTTAATAAACATGATTTTTGCTATATTATGGATGTGTGGAATGATAAATCCATGATGGCCTTGTTGTGGATTTGTTTTTTGTCCGATGGATGAATTTTGGATGTTGATCTGACTTGTGGATGAGTGGACGCTCATCCCCTTGCGACCTTTGTGTGCCTACAAGAATAGTGGTAAGCAAGGATAGTGGCATTAATCTCGCCTATGATTCCCGCTTGTAGTGCTTTGATGCCACTGCTTTAAGGTTATTCAGGGTGATGTCAACAGTTAGGTAGTTACTTCGGTCGATGACTATGACTCTCTACCAGTTCCTTCGGTGCTATGCATGATTTGTTCTCCGCCTATTGCTTCGACACACACGTGACCTATTTTTCCACCAACAGCTTTACCTTAAGTATGATTTGATTCTCCGCCAATTGGTCACCGAATGTGATTTGACTATGTCAAGGAGAAGACCAATAGTTGATTGAATTTGATATCTATATGATGCGAGATGGCCGTGGAAAGGCTGAAGTAAAGATGATATGAATATGATGTGATCCTTCGGCAACTAAAGTGGCTGTGGAGAATGATTTGAATATCTTTAATTGGCTTTGAGAGTAAGTCTAATGATGAGTGTGAAATCTTTGGAGATATTGAGGATGATGATATGTCCACACATTCGAGACTTTAGGGATAATAATATGCCCTATATTTGGAGATGTTTACTTAAACATTTAGGTGCATGGATGGTGTATATATTTTACATATGTGTTGTGTGTGTGTGTGTGTGTGTGTGTGTGATTTTGTTTATCTGCACCACTCACTAAGTATTTGAGTACTCACTCGTTTGTGTAACATGTGTAAATAAATTGGCCACAATGTTGTGTAGTAAAGGTCGTCTAGTGATAGACTGATTAGGCATCCAATAGTTTTTCGTCAACTACGTCACTCTGCTACATCAGTCACAAGCTTCCGCTCCACACTTAGTTTGTTATATATGTAGGCACGCTATGCCATATGAATTTATGTGTAAGGGTTGTTATGTGCAATCTTGCCTTGAATGACCCATGTATGGCCTTATGAATATTTATGTGGATTGTGAGGCAGTGATAATGTATTATATTCAAACTTAATATGGATATTTGATTATTAAATCTTTTGGCATTTATGATGTATAATTTTGAACTCTGAGACTTGCTCAAGTCTAGTGAACTTCCTCGCTAAACTCATGCACCGGTCACGAACTCCCAGGTTGAGTCGTGACATTTGATTTATAGGATGGAGGAAAAAAATTACTTCCCAATATATATTTTTTTTTCAAATCAAACTAAATAAATCTCCATATGAAGTCCAAAAAAAAATCTCCATATGTATCTAAAAAAAAGAAACTAAGACATCAGGTTCATATGCCATACTTATCTTAGATGCAACTTCAAGTAATAAAATATTTATTATACTTTTTAATGCTTAAAAAGTAAAATATTAAGTACTTAACCACTTAAAAAATGTTTCAATGAAAAAAATTCACAAGTAACACTAAAGACACCATTTGCTAATATAGTAATCAAAGGCATTAAGTAATTGAATCACTAAAATTAACATTTTTAACAATTTATCAAATATAACCTAATTTTGTTTAAGTAAAAGCTAATGTAATGGTCTCAAGGTAAGGGAACACTATATACAGCAATTAGAAACTTTAAACTCCAACTTGAAAATGTTGAATTTAAATCTTGAAATTGTAGAAATAAAATCTCTAAAATAAAAAATAATTACATCCTATTGCATGTATAAAAAAGTAAATAAAAAATCATGCTTATAATATGTACGTACTTACAAATTAACTAACTCAAAAATAAACCACAAATCAGTAAAACGGTATGAAAGGCCAAACTCTTGTGTTTTTGCTAAAAAAAGAAAAGCATAAGATAAAGAATTGGTTCAATGATAAATTCATATTTTTTATTTATTATTTAAAAAATTATTTTTTTATTTCTTTTTCTCAAATTAAAATTATATGAACATAATATTTAGGATAACTCCTCAACTATTTAAGAAAATTCAAAGAACTCATTATTCTTTTACTGTATTTAATCAAATTCTTATACTTTCATTTTGAATTAAATAAGTCATTATAATTAACAATTGATTAAATGTAATTAATAAAAAAATCACTTATCATTTTATAACACATGATTCTAATAGGACATGTTGATATGACATAATTATATGACCATTTTGACATTTTTTAGCTTTCACGTTAATATTACGTAGTATAAAATAACAAATAATGTTTTAATTATTTACAATTGATTTATTTTTAATTAAAAGAACTTATTTAATTTCTTTTAATTTAAAATAAAACTATAAGTGTTTGATTTCACATAATAAGAAATTAAAATTTTTTAAAATAATTCAATCATTATAAGAATATCATGCCAAATATATATATATATATATATATATATATAATATGTATATATATTTAAACTATCTCTTCTCTCCTCCTCGAGCTGATGGAATGAATGAGCCATCTGCATAATAAAAAAAGTTGAAACGTATAGCACATGACAGATCTAATTTTCTATTTACTTTAATTCATTAATTCATTAATTCGAGGTCTATATAGTTTACTCATTATATGGTAGACGTAAGAACTTTAACGCGCAAAAAAAGAGACGAGGAGGTGGACGGAGAGAGATGCCGGAATACTGTGTAACAGGCGGAACAGGATTCATTGCTGCTTATTTGGTCAAGTCCTTGCTGGAAAAAGGTTACTTGGTGCGCACCACAGTGCGAGATCCAGGTTAGCTTATGCTTATGATTCTTTTCATTATTTTTATTAGAGAAGCGAACTAATGCCTTTTCTTTTTAGCAAGTTATTTTGGTATTATGGATGCAATTGAGCGCAAAAGAAGAAAATTTCTGAATTAAATAGTTTAGAAGCTTTACTTTTATTTTCCTTGTTGAGGGATTTAATTATTTGATCTTGATGATGTGAAATAGTGCAAATTCCTCAATTTTTTTTATTACTTGTTGCCTGTTTCCTTCCTACCATCTAATAAGTATGTTCTCTAACTTGTTCTCTCTACGGCCTGCTATTGTTATTGATGGTCATGTTTGATAGGCATTAGCAGTCCGTTTTAGCATCTCATCATGTAAATTATCAGACTGCAGGCGCTTTGAAGTTTCGTTTTTCGAAAAACAAAAATAAAATCTTGATTTATCACCAGGGAATGTGGGAAAGGTTGGTTTTCTTAAGGAGTTGCCTGGAGCCAAGGAGAGGCTGAAGATTATGAAAGCTGATTTGATGGCGGAAGGAAGCTTTGATGAGGCAGTCCAAGGCGTTGATGGTGTTTTCCACACTGCATCACCGGTTCTGGTCCCCTATGATGACAACATTCAGGTAAAGTCTGTCTTGAGAAGCGTACCACATTAATACAATTGTATTTGCTCAAATCTGAGTGCCTATTCTACAATCAAGTAATCCCAATGCACCTGTATTGTTTGAGCATCCAATGACTTGATTTTTGTTGGGCTCAAAATGGGATGGACAGATGGATGGGGGCGGCAGAAAGATTTTTTTATTGGATTGACTGGTCCTTCTGGTCGGTTAGGAGGCAAGATTTGCAAAAGTGGTGACACCGGAGGATTTCGGTGATTATAAGAGACCAAAATAGAAGAGAGAGAGAGAGAGAGGTCATACCTCTTGTGGCGTACTCATACATGGAGCGTGTCACATATTTACATACTAATAAGAGATAGGGTGAGTTTTAAGTATATAAACATGAGTTTTTAGTATATAAACACAAATTTTCCTCTAGTTATCAATTATGTCTTATAGATTGAAAATATAAATTCGTGATAGATAATATGATAACAAAATCAACTCTTCGTTGATCTGGAGCCCATGAGAGATGTTAGGATCAAACTAGACTTGAGTTAATATAAAGGTCGTTCTTTTTTATGAGAAAAGCTTTGTTTTAGGGTGTTCCAAATCTCTATTGCAAAATCCATGTAAAAGACAGTCAATGCTATGGGAGGGCTAATGGAATCAAGTAGCCATGCTACTATAAGACTGTTGCATCTAATCCAAGAAAGGTATAATGCATCAATTGTCCTGTGTAAAGGACCATCAGCTAAATGGGACAATTGAAAGAAAACATCAGCACATCCTGATGGCAGCTAGAAGTCTGATGTTTCATTCAAAGGTTCCAATCAATTTCTGGGGGGATGCAATCCTAACTGCAATGCATGTGATCAACAAAGTGCCCATTAAAGTCCTCAAAGATAAATCACCTTATGAATTGCTCTATAAAAAACCACCTTCCTATGCACATTTTAAAGTCTTTGGATGCCTTGGTTTTGTATCTACTTTGACTCGAAACAGAAAAAAACTAGATGAAAGGGCCAGTAGATGTACCAGAACAAACATTTCATTAAACACCTCAAATACATGGTAGATACTTTGACCCTTTTGACCAAAATTCACAGATTTTTCAACATCAAAACACTTGACCAGTTGAATTACACTTACCTGAATATGATTCACCCAATGACCAACCTCTAACATCATCTGTGAATGATTTGGACCAAAATACCTCTGATGAGGCTACTTAGTCTCTTGGTACTTCTGCAATTGGCAGCGCCAATGAACCTAAAGCCATCATAACAAATGATACGACAACACAAGTTAGAAGAAGCTCTAGACCAAAACATGTCCCAAAGTATCTTGAAGCCTACCAATTAGACTTACCTTCTCAAACCAACAATGTAACTGCACATCCAATTAGCAGACACCTATCCTGTCATCAATTATCACCTGCTCATAAGTCATTCACCACTTCTTTATGAACAATTTTTGAACCAAATACTTACCAACAAGCAATCAATCATTCTCACTGGAAAGATGCCATGACTGTTGAATTGAAGGCATTGGAAGATAATGGTACATGGAGCATTGTTCCACTACCTCCCGATTGTCATGTAGTAGGCTACAAATGGATATACAAGGTAAAATTGAATGCTGATGGCAATGTAGAGAGATATAAGGCACGTTTGGTTGCAAAAGGATATAATTAAATTGAAGGTTTTGACTACTAAGATACCTTCAGCCTAGTGGCCAGGCAAACAACAGTAAGAGTATTTTTTGCATTAGCAGCTGCACACAATTGGCATTAATCACAACTTGATGTGAATAATGCCTTCATGAATGGTGACCTAGCAGAGGATGTACGTATGGCGCTGCCATAGGGATATATAATCAAGGGGGAGTGTCCTAGTCATTCAAGGCTGGTTTGTAAGTTACACAAATCTCTCTATGGGCTCAAGCAAGCATCAAGAGCCTGGAATTCCAAGCTCACTGCATCACTTTAAAAATTTGGTTTCAAACAGTCAACCTCAGATTACTCATTCTTCACCATGAAAACATACAATGGAGATTTTATAGCTCTCCTAGTGTATGTTGATGATATACTAATTGCAAGCAATTTTGTCCAGGCAGCGTTTGAAGTCAAGGAATTCTGAGGTCAGAATTCAAACTCAAGGACCTTGGTAAAGTAGATACTTCCTAGGACTTGAGATAGCCAGATCACCAGAAGGCATATCAATATGCCAAATAAAATATGCTTTAGACCTTCTGGAAGAACAAGGATTACTTGGAACTAAGCCTATGAGTACACCGATCGACTATAATCACAGATTGGCAAAATGAAATGATGAAGACAAGCTAACAGATCCTACAAGCTACAGACAACTAGTTTGAAAATTGTCATACCTGACATTTGGCAGACTTGACATCACATATACAGTGCAGGTATTCTCACAGTTCATGGAGAAACCTGGTGTTCATCACCTTGCTGTAGCTCACAGGGTCTTGAAGTATATCAAAAAGGCACCAGGTCAGGGAATATTAATGAAGTCAAAATGCAATTTAAGAATATCTAGATACTCAAACAGCGATTGGGCAGGATGCCCTGACACTAGAAAATCTGTCATAGGCTATTGCATCTTCATCGGTGATTCCTTGGTGAGCTGGAAGTCAAAGAAACAGTCTGTAGTGGCAAGAAGTTCAGCAAAAGCAAAATACAGATCAATGGCTGCAGCTTGTTGTGAAATCATACGGCCAAGGTCTTTAATGGCTAATTTTGGGATTAATCATTCTGAAGCTATGAACCTATACGCAGACAGTCAATCAGTGATACAAATCAGCAAAAATCTAGTGCTTTATGAAAGGACAAAACATATAGGATGGATTGCCATTTCATCAGAGAAAAGGTATTAGCTAGACTAATCAACCCCTTGCATATTTCAACACAATCACAGTTGTCAGACATCTTCACCAAAGCACTTCAACTGAGACAATTCTACCACCTATTGAACAAGATGAATGTTCATAACATTCACAGTTCATCTTAGGGGGGAGTGTTAGACATCATCCTTATGATGGTGATTCAAATAAGTGTTTAAAGAACGAAGAAACACAGATGAAATGAAGAAGTTGAGTGTATCGGCTTGAAAGAAGAAAAGGGAGAAGAAGGATCAAAACTCACCGTTTAAATAAAGGCAGAAGCTCAATGCGCAGCATTCTTGTTTTGTTTTTAAATTTCAGTTAGGGAGTAATCATTAGTTAGTTAGTGTTTAACTTTACTCTTTCTTCACTAATTGTATACCACATATAAATACCATCATGTAATACCCTGATTCGGGAATGAGAGAATACTGAGTTACATTCTCACCCATATGCGCTCCGTTTCTTCCATATCCTCCATTTCTGATGCTTCTGACAGTAAGGGGATTTACCTAAACTAGGTTTAGGTAGTGAAGTGGAAGAAATATATATCTCCACAGCTCTGGCATTTACCTTAATTATGTTTTGGATATTTTTGAGAAAGCTAATATGCCAGAACTTTCTTTAACTTGGAAATCTTGTAGGCAACTTTGATTGATCCATGCATAAAGGGGACACTGAACGTGCTGACATCCTGCTCAAAAGCCAGCAGTGTGAAAAGGGTTGTGCTCACCTCCTCCTGCTCTTCAATAAGATACCGCTTTGATGTCCAGAAGCAGCAAATTTCTTCCCTTAATGAGTCACATTGGAGTGATCCAGAGTATTGCAAACGCTACAATGTATTGACTTGCAAGAAACTGCAAATCTTTCTTTTTCTTTTTTTCGTTGCTGCATAAATTCTCTTCTGATATCTTGCTTCCATGCAGCTCTTTTACGCTTATGCAAAGACTACAGGGGAAAAAGAAGCATGGAGAGTAGCCAAAGAATGTGGAATTGATCTGGTGGTGGTGAACCCATCTTTCGTGGTTGGTCCTTTGCTTGCACCACAGCCTACCAGTACTCTGCTGTTGATACTCTCCATAGTTAAAGGTCAGAGTCCTATTTCCAATGAGATGATATAGAGATGTAACTATGCAACTTTCTGTAAGAAATAAGATCAGTGCGGTAGTCTCCTGACATAGAGGAAGAGCATAGGACCAAAGAAGGAAAGAAAAAAGAGGGCGCTATAAAATCATAACAGGTGCATACATGCAATCGTATTATATCATTGATCCTTACTTGCATGAGGCGCTAAGCTTCTTTGGTAAAATCCCATTTGTTTTGTAGTAAGTGACAGGCCATCTTTTTCATTTGGTGAAAAATAAGCTCTCATCAACTTCTTTACCAGGTTTAAAAGGTGAATACCCAAACACCACAGTGGGGTTTGTGCACATAGATGATGTGATTGCTGCTCACATCTTAGCTATGGAGGAAAGGAAAGCATCAGGCAGGCTGGTATGCTCAAGCTCAGTAGGTCATTGGACGCAGATCATTGAGATGCTGAGGGCCAAATATCCTTCCTATCCTTTCGAAAGCAAGTGAGTGAAATTAACAATCTAGATCATTTGAAATCAATTCCAAATGCAAAGAAGCAAAACGAACAGTTTTAATTAATATTCAACTAAATTGGTATTGCAGGTGTAGCAACCATGAAGGAGACAACAATGAACACAGCATGGATACGACAAAGATACAACAGTTGGGCTTCCCACCTTTCAAATCACTTGCTGAAATGTTTGATGACTGTATCAAGAGTTTCCAGGACAAAGGATTTCTTTGAAGTCTGCATTCTCTTGTGCAAACTGTGGTTCATATCCCTGCATCTGGTCACTCTTTCATCAAATAAAACGTGTGGAAAATAATGTACTTTGCCAAATGCAAAATAAAAATTATTTATGCAGTCTGATCCTTGTTCTGGCTCCTGAGCTGCGGAACTTAAATTTTTTTTTGTTTCAATTGCTAAAAAAAAAAATTGATTGCAATCGTATACTAAATAGACAATAGCCAGATTTTCAAATGGAAATGCATTGAAGATACATAAAGGGAGCGTGTGCCAAACCAATCTTGGTCACTAAAATTTATGCCTTGATCAACTGTTCGATGAAGCAAAAGTTGCACCTTCCTTACGGCCACCTACTTTACACATTTCCTTTTTCCTTCCTGAGAAACAGCTTACAACCTGAGATACAATATATTTATGGATTTTTATTATATTGTTAAAACATTTATAGAATAAATTTCGGAGTAACCAATATAATTAGCCCATTATTCAAAAGAGTAACGACAGACTTCTGACGAATCACGGGCTTTGGCTCGTGGCTTATTCTCCCAACCTTAGGTGGGAATCTCCGAAGGGGGAGAGCTCTATTAATTCGTTTCTTTGCCCAAGATGTTCTCTATTAATTGAAAAAAGCTCAAACACTTCTTGATTCGTTTGTAACCCATAGTTCACTCACAAATCCTTTTGTTTCATACCCAAAAAGCTCCATATCCTTATTTATTATCACATATTTTGCACAAATATTAATGAGTACCATTCCCCAGCTAGTATCGACATTCTACCTAAGAATGAGCCCATGTCCATTGATCCAATGTAAACAAGAATTCATAAAACGCCTGATCAATGTTAATATCCATCCACCAGCAACCGAACTAGGTAACAAACCCAATGCGTCTGTTAACGGCCCGTATACCCCTAGGGTTCGTTTATCTTAGATGCCGTTTGGAAATAGGATTCATCCCTCAAAGGTTTTGGAGATAAATCGACGGTTGTAGATTTTTAATTTTGTCGTCAGATAATTTTATTATTATTTTTTATCTTGTGAATTAATATTTTGTATCCTTTGTCTAATATTTTGTCATATACAATAATTGTATAATTGATATGGGATTAACTCCAAGATAAATGGTAAAATTCTAAAGTTAAACAAAATAGCCTAAGATGTCAAAGGGTGCATTTGTTTGAAAGTAAAAGTTTTTGTAGAAAACATTTTGACGGCATAATAGTATTTAGATGACTGAAAATGAAATTTTAAGAGTAAAAGTTTTATGCATTAACACGTAAAAGACCCGTTATCTATAGAAATTATCTTATGACTTTAAAAGGTGTAAGACAATTTTCATCACACTAAAAAAAAGACTCCTATTAAAAAAAACAAAAAACTCTTCCCTATTCAAAGGTGTAAGAAATTATCTTTAGTTCTGTCATCCTTAACCTCCAACGTGGTTTGAATATTCACCTTTTATTTTCTTCAAAATAATAAGGTTTCAAAACGAAAGAATGCATTTGTTTGGAAGTAAAAGCTTTTCTAGAAAACATTTTCACGACATAATGGTATTTGGATGATTGAAAATGAAATCCTAAGAGTCAAAGTTTTATGCATTAACAGGTGAAAGACCCATAAACTCTGAAAATTGTGTTACGACTTTGACAATTTTCATCAAACTCACAAAAAAGACTCCTATTAAAAAAACGAAAAAAAACTCCTACCCTAAAGCCCTAAGCCTTTAGCTCTATCATCCTTAACGTTTAATATGGTTTGAATATTCAGATTTTATTTCTTTCAAAATAATAAGGTCTCAAAACGACATTCTTTTATTTCTTTCAAAATAATAAGGTAGTTATACGTTTAGGGTAAATATTTTCCAAAATATGATCCAAACAACAAAAAATGTTTTCAACAGTTAATCCAAATAACAGAAAATATTAAATTTGTCTGTAAAATATTTTGCATAGAATAAATTTTTCCTCAGCAAACTATTTTATAGTTGTTAAACGGGTCCTAAGAAAATTTTATATTTTCAAATTAAAAATCTAAGAAAGTACGGAGTGAAGTTCTTGAGAAACATTATGAAAACTACTTATTGCTTAACCTTGCTTAGAAAATTGGGTATTTCCCATGTGACATTGTTGATGCATGGTACCTTGAACCTTTGGCTAACTACCACTTTCTCATTAACCACAAAATTTCTTTACCATTATATCTAGTCAACCTCACACAATAACTTAAAGAACCTTTTGGCATATTGAAAGGTGAACTTTTATTCCAAAAGCTTCTCTTTATATATTTTTTTCTCTCTAGCCTTGTCTTAAACTTTTCCCACAATATATATCTCGTGTCAAAGAGCATTCTTCTCCTCACATTACCTAATCTTACCCTATCAACCTCCACTTAACTCTTACCTTCTCAACCCTTCTATCACTTACCACTAGTACCAAGTCTCTTAAGACTATCACTATTCCCTTCTTCCTCTCTTTTTACCCATCTAATTACTACAGCACCACACTACTTCACCTATAAACCTTTGTAGAAAGGACCTTTCATGTTTGGGTAACTTTATTAGAGAGGAGTGATCACACTAAATAATGCCACCTAGGAAAAAAAACACTTGTAGAATCCTCTTGTTTTCATGTTCACAGCCAATAAAACATGGATGATTTAGCCAATAAATAGCAAGGACTACCAACCCATAAGAAATAAGGATTACACCTTATATGTAGGAAATGATGAAGATGTTCCAAATTGTTTAAAAGAAGATATTGGAAACCATTGTGAAAATGACAGAAGAAAGTATAAAAAGAATATGAATACCTTTGCTAAATTTCTTCTTTATATGCCAAATACATCCTAAAACCAACCTTCTTTTTGGAAATGGTTGCTAACCTTGGTCATAATATGGAGGAAATTCCTGTAGTTGTTGATTGGGAAATGGATCATCATGGCAAAGATGCCTCTACTTTCGAGGTCCTCATTTGGCTAGCTTGACATATCAAAACAATTTAAAAGTGGTGTATCCACGCACCTAGTTGGAAATTTGATTCCTAGCTCTAATCACAACTCCATTTTGACGAAATCTGTTGAGTTTTCAAGCATTCCTATCACACAACATCCATTACAATGAAATCTTAAAACAAGAATCTCGAAATAATCATCTTAGGCATTTTTGAAATTTACTTACTTTTAACTATACTAATTTTCTAGCTAAAACCCATGCTTAGAAACCCATAAATCTTTCATCCTTACCTTAATTGAGCTGAAATACTTAAGAAAATCTTGAACCCTTTAAGTTTTAATCATAAATAAAAAATTTGAGCAATAAAATCATAATTTCAGAAACTAAAAATCAACATTTAAAGTTTCCAAAGTATAAAAATATCATTTCTATTGTTTAAAATCCAAACCAAGCTTTTTAATGATCAAAGATGAAGATTAGCATCAAAAATAGGTTGAGAGAGCTTAAGTTGAGAGAAATACCTTAGAAAAATGATAGAAGGTTGAAAACCTTAAAAATTGTAAGATATTTATAGCTTTGAGTGTGAAAATACAATTTTACCTTTTTTATTTTTCTAAAAAATGATGAAATCTATCTATACGTTTGGGCCATATATTGATACATTTGCTTTTGAAAAAATTATATCAATACATTTGAAACAAAATACAGTTTTTGAGACAAATTACCTATAAAACTTGCCTAGTTTATTTACATTAAATATCATTTAAGTAAATGTCCTCATTTTTAATTCTTTCTTTTTTACTCTTCATTTACTTAAGATATTTAATATAAATAAGCAAACAACCCCCCATTTTGATTCAAAAAAATATTAAAAAAATAAAAATCCAAAAGAATTAAAATCTAAATTTTAGTTTTAAGAACAAAATCAAAAAAGTTTGATTGAAATTAAACTTGCTGCTCCCATTATGTAATTAGCATAAAAATTATGTTAAACCTCTAAAGCTTACAATCACATATAAATATAATGCATAAGTTGCACATGAGAAAAGTTACAACACATTCAGAACCTTGAGAGGTAAGTAAGAAGAGAAATCAGCATCACACCCAAACCTTAAAAGTCAACCTACCTCCCTTTCCATGCATATAAGTTTTAATTAGTCAAACTCTATAGTCCACCCTTTGATTTCTTCTTTCTTTTACTAGGCGTTTCGATTGCACTTTAAAAATTGAGAAATATGAGACCATTTCATTACCTAGCACCAGGTGATGGAAGCATAAGAATCCATATTCTCCATTCATGTGGATCACTATTGAAGGCTGCACACACGTAGACAACTTGTGGATTTCTATAACTCGAGTTTGGTGCATAAAGGATTCAAGGTTCTTTTTTTTTTTTTTAAGTTTAACAACTTTATGATTTCAACTCCAATGCCTTGAAGGTATAATAATCTACTCCTTAAGTTAGGGTGTACTATATTAAATAATCCAAGTATGATTTTATCTAAGGGAAAGGTTTTAAATTTTTGTTATGCTTGTAAAATGATTGCATGGTTTTTCCTCAGCAGTACAGTACACTAAAAAGGGCCTCCTTTTTTTTCTACCTCATCCTTGAATTGCATTTGCTGTTGGTGTATACTTTCTATTAAAGCGACTAGCTCTTCTTTGCCTAAAAACCATATTATTGGTCTTTCATGTGGCTTCAACCAAAATAACAACGTTAGAAAAGGTAAGTTCTCCAAATGCACCCTTCATCGAATATCCTTTGGATGAAAACTTTCGCTAAGTCCTTCTTATCATGAGAATTTTGTATGCCCAATACCCTTTCTTTGAAGCATTAAACGTACTCCATGAGATTCTCTCTCAACTTTTGATGCTCTTTTCCTACGTCACTAACAATAACCTTCTCTTGAGTGGAAAAGAACTTTTCTTCAAACATCCTACACATTTGACTCCAAGATTTTACAAAACTAAGGGTGAAAGTAATGTACTGAGTATAAATCTTCTAGTAAGTATTGGCCATAAAAATAATAATACAAGGGGGTGAATAGCACTTTAAAAATATTTTGAAGGAAACTCGTTGAGTTTAAAGACTTTTGGGTGAATTAAGATGGAATGCTTGTAAACTTGTTAAGGTTAGTAAACACCAAGTAAAGAGAAGTATGAGAGAAGTGGACAAGACACAATATTTATAGTAATTCGGTCCCTT